CGACTGCGGCATATCTTCGCCTGCAGCTCCCGGCCAGGCACCCAACTCACCCCCGTGGACTTTTGGCTTAAGCCGGCTGATGTTGCGGCTTTCCTCCGTCTCCCAACTGCACCGAGTTTGAACTCCGGCGGGGACTCCTGATCCAACAAGGGCTACTAACCAAACAACCTTAGTCGAGGCATTTTTTGTATGAGACAAGGGCCGTAAGCTCAACAGACATCATTTGGCCAAGTCACTCAACCAGCGGTGCTGGCTCCCATTATCGGTATTTGTCTACTTACTGGTGCTTCCAAAGAATGACTAACCTGTAGCACAATCGGACAAGTATGCATTCCTCACCGACTCCGACTGATATGGTCTGACCATGCGTAGCGCCAAACTGAATCGCGCAAAATCCCTCGATACCGCAGGCCAACGCTACGCGCTGACAGTATCGAGACGGCAAAATACAAATACGGATGTGAGTGATGACATGCCTGTAAACATTTTAGAAGTCAAGTTTGGCAAATGGCGCTTTCGGTTATTCGGGGAATGTGTGTTCACACTTCCTGCCAGGTCAGGCTACAGCGACGAAGCAGGCCAGGGCTCGGACTCCTTCCCCCCTCCCCCGGTCCCGGGTAGGATCAGACTATAACCCTGACCTCCGAAAACCCTCAATTCTCGCTCCTCGCACTTACTGTTTGTTTGATGCTTAGAATTTTATTTTTATTCTACCGACCATTTAATTATTTTAAAGGCCTGAGTAGAATAAACGAAAACGTAAATTCGTCAAATGCGACTTTGCAAACATTTTTGTCCCTGTGATTTGTGGCACTGGCGTGTCCACTGGATTACTTTAGCTTGGAGGAGGAACCGTAGGCGAGGCCAGCTTTAAGAAGGCTTATCGAGCACTGGAACAGTCCGTTTAGTGCCCTGAGCTTTCAAACACGTACAGGAGGACATCTTCAGAGGGAACAGCGGTAACAAAAGGGGACAACTATAGGCAGTGTAAACAAGTCAACTGTCAGTGGCGCACTTCTGGAGAGGACTGCGGAGGACGCTGTACGCCACCGCCAAATCAATATATCGATTGAGTGAGTTCCCATCTGTAGACCAGACTTTAATCAATTCTCGGCTCGTCCTGTTCCGTGCGTGGGCGAATGTCTTGACGGCCGCGAATTAATCGACGTATCACTTTGGTGCCGGCGTACAGAGCCCTGCGCAGTCAGCTCCAGGCGTGCGTCGATGAAAGTTGATTGGTTTA